GTTATCTTTCACTCAAAAATAGAAGAAAAAAGCACAAACCTAGATTTAAATTAGAGTGTGAGAGTGAAGATTATAAACAACATTCAAACCAGCACCACTTTTTTCAATGCTTTTTAGTTTAATTTTGCAATGGCCAAATATAGTCACACATTTTAAGTTACTTTCTGTTGAAAACTAAATTTTAATTCCTTTCCAGGCGTCGTATCCGAATAATAGGGTTCTTTTCATAAACATCAAGAAACTTCCACTTTGTTCTTCTAAGCCATTTGAAGATTGAAATAAATAATAGAGCTTTGCTGGAAAATTAACAGCAACAAAAATTTGTTGTCAACTAAATCCCGCGTAGTGTAGCGCAGACATAAACAAACTAGGAAGTAAGCAACCTTTGACTTGGAGCCGTTTTTGTAGGTACTCACGAAGTACTTACTTGGCAAGCTCCGCTTAATGAGTGGCCGCAATTACATTAACCCATCAAGTTACTTAATGCTGTCCCAATAAGTTTAAAAAATATTAGTTCACAGAGCATTCTGACCACGAAAATTGTTAATAGAATTAGAACCTTATACGACCTCCAATTTGGAAAGGTGGTTTTGGATTTATTTCATGACGTGTTTCGTTGTATCAGTATTTGAAATAAAACCATTTAAATAGACCAAGAAGATTGATCTAATGACGCAGAGAATTTTATGGAAAACGTCCCACAGCCGAATCTGATTCCAATTATCGTGCTATGTGCAGACCAAAAACAAACAAACGGAACAAAGCCTATTCACAAAAACTAAGCCAAATTCAATTTTGACCGGGGGGCGTGTAAAACAAATACCGCAGCGTTTAAGAATATCTGATACTGACAAGGGAACAAAAAGTAACGGTGGCCCGAGATCTGACGAACATGTCTCGTGAATGGCACACGCACACGCACCCACGAAGTAAAGGGCTGCAGCCGCGGCTTTTCAATTCAGCGCAGCGCAACGGGGGGAGAAGAATCGCCAATACCTTGCCTCGACCAACCGTGATATGAATGGAGGGCGTATTGAGTTACACACCAACTGCGATTCCTCGGCTCATTAATTCCAGGCGGCCGTTGAGTGTGATAAGGAAGTTTGTTAAACTTTCAAATATACCCGCTTGCGCCAAATTTGATACATGTGGAACAGTGATGGAATTGATTTAATTCAAGAGGTAAAAATGTGAAATCTAAATCAAAGTGTCTAGTAACAACTATCCATACCGTTATTTATTTATTAGGCTTATTCAAAAATATTCACCAAGTCCATGCTTCCAGTAATAGTATATTATGCAACAAGTGCGGTAAACGGCATTTGACAAGAGCGGAGCGAGTTTTGAATAAACGAGTGAGTTAAAAAGTTTACCGAACGTGTTGCATACTATACTTTTTCTACGACCCTTAGTTTTTGAGTACATTTTCCTAAAACAACACGAATACATTCACTGACGTGACCGTCAGAATTGACAAAAGTCAAAATTTAAAGCGTGGGAAATATCTCCGAAAACATCCGATTGCTCCCAAATCCGTGCGGTAAAATCCCGGAAATGTACGAAGTGGCTCAAATTCGTGGGAAAGGAAACTGACGTGGTAAAGTGACGCTTCCCGCACGCTAGATCGGTGGGTAATTAGGGATTTTCCAGACGGGAGTAGAAAAATATATTTTTATTTTGAAGGTACTGATTAATTGTTCTTATTTATTAAATTCTTCAGAATATTTGAGAGGCCTTTGAAGAATAAATGTTTACATGAACTTAGCTCAGAACGGAATTGCAGTTTCATCGTAGGAAACAAAAAACAACAACTGACCAGCAAAGGAAATATTAAACTTTCTCATGTTTAATACCTCCATTACAATTTTGGATTAGCAGCATTAAGGCACTTTCTTGATTTCCATAGGATTAGGTCAATGTGACAAATTATGAGTTCTTTATACAGACCGAAGAATAAAAAATGTGTGATATCTATACAAGGTGGACCTGATTTTTGGTTTTAAACATTGTAAAACCACCTTTTTTGAAAAAGAGTCCATATAAACTCCAAAAATTATAGGATACAGTGTGTCTAATTAACAGAAAAGGCGAGACGAGTGAGTCAGTTTTTTGTATCTATTAAACTTAAATATCAGAAGGGCTTTTTCTGTAATTCAGTCACTTGTCCTTAATAAATGATTTTTATAAAATTTTACATACAAAAAACAAATGGCAATTTAGAAAATATTTTTTATTTATTTATATTTTGGAGAAACGAGTAGCGTAAATTTTTCATTTAAAAAACAATAGGTTCTTTTTTATTTTCAAAAATATTGTTCACCCAAAAGTGCTGTTTGCTGTTTACAGGAATCTATATGGATGATTTCCCACTAACTGATAGAGCTTGTGGTTAAAAACCCCTTCCCCCATGTATAAGAAATAGTAGTAGATGTATCAGGCGTATAACAGTTTAAAATTGCAGACATGCATAGCAACTTTTCTTAAATTGTCCCGCCTATAACAACTTACACCTGGACCTGGCACACCTAGGTACGTTATGGAGCAAATAAACTTTTAATCAGGGCCGTTATTTTCTAGTGACTTTATTTTCACAAAATTTCAGTTTATCAACCATCGCACTAAAAGCGAATCAAGGGGATATGGAAGTCAGGATATGTTAGACCAAGAAATAAAACAAATTCCGATTGTAGTTAGGTAGTTAATTAAAGAACAGTGTTTCAATTTGCAAGCGCCAATGCAATAAAAGTTTAATTTCCGGGAAGTATAAGCCTAATAATTTTTCTTCTTCTTTTATATTATGCACTTCTGCCTGTTTTACTTCAATATAATTTTTATAACAAGTTGTCGCTCTATATGGCAGCCGATTTATCTCTTGCTATCCTTATTATTCGTTGTTCAGACAGTCTATCTATATGTTGATTCCATTATTGCTTTCTATTTCTTGTTCAGGTGTTAATGTGTTCAATTCCACATATGTGTTATGTTTTCATTTGTTTTTTTATCCCAGACTGTTTTTCCTGCTATTTTCCTTAATGTTTTCATTTCATTTGTTTACAGGCATTTCTGAGTCTTAGATGTTTCTGATCTTGTTTATGGTATATGTCATGACTGATCGAACTACAGATTAATATATGGGGGATTTTGTTTCGGTTCTCGAGTATTTATTCTTCCATATCGTGTCGTTTAGGCATCCTGACTTTTACAATTTGTTGTTATATTTTATCCTCTATGTTATTATAATTTATATGATAATCTAATTCCTAAACATTTGATGTCCATTAACTGCACTATACTTTGGTGATCAAGTTCCAACTTACATCTCATTGCTTCTTTAGAGACTACTAGTGATTTAGTTTCTTTGGCCGATATTTTCATGTTAAATTTCCTTGCATTTATATTCAACTGATGTAGTACTGTCTACAAATCATCTTCATTCTCAGCTACCAATACAGTATCGTGTGCGTAACAACACACTTGTATTTCTTTATTACTACGTAGGAAACAATCTCGAACAGGAATACTAAAATACCGAGCGAACAAACTTAATCCTGAGGCACCTACGCAGAAACGCGCATCACCACTGTTTATTCATCCGTCGTCTCAAAGAAACCGAAGCGGGTGACCACAAGATACGCAAGGGTGTAACTCAATCCCCCATTCGCATTGACGATGCGTCAGTCTAAATTGACACCAATTACCAGTAAAACTCCCTGCTTTAAGCTCCCCCCATAGCTTTTTGCAAACAGCATCACGAAAATGAGCTAATACACTCAGCCGTTCCCCCTCGCGTTCGTTCGCTTCTGTTGTGCGCGGCGAAGATGTCGATCAAACAGACGCCACGTCGAATGCCCGTTGGGATTTCAAAACTTACGACCGATTCGCCAAAAGTCAAGTTTTATCCTTCTCCGATTGTTCTTTTAAACGGCTAAATGGAGTTAGTTATTCTCCTTTTCTATCCGGACCCAAATTATAGCATTACCTCTTAAGGTTGAAAAATTCCTCGGTAAAAAATATTTAAAATTTCAAGCGTCTTCGAAACATTTCCAAACATCTTTTTCGTTTTTCCGTTTATTATGAAACAACGAGGTCAAAATTGCTTAAAGCATTACATGGCAGTATTAAAAATAAAACCACAACATATTTATTACATGCTTCAGCAGTAAGTAGTCGCGATTTTATTCTCCAATGGTGACCATTTTGACCAGCTCATTCGACATGCATAAGTGACAATAAAATATTATTTGTCGCTCTGTTATCAGTTTTTGTGGTGTGTGGTTTATTGAAAATGACGTAAGATCATCTTACGATGAAATCCATTTTTATCGCATTTAAAGTATGCCAGAGCCAGAGTTTTGTAGTCGACCATTTTTAAGTACAAAACATCTAATTTTAATTGAGTTTACTGCAGGAACCGAAAAATTAGGAATTTTAGAGTATGCCTTCAAACTAGCGAAATTAAAAGCACTCCCTATGAAATTAAGCGTCAATGAAATATTGTAAAAGGCCCCAGTATATATATATATATATATATATATATATATATATATATATATATATATATATATATATATATATATATATATATATATATATATATATATATATATATATATATATATATATATATATATATATATATATTAAATGGAACAATCTGTATTGAGTTCAGTCATTGGCCCTCTTCCGCAATTTATGACAGGTCGTGGTTATGATGCTTAGCAGATATTTTAGCCAGTTTAGCGCGAGGCGTGACGTCACCTATCTTTGTCGAAAAAACTTTCATGCGTTGTTTGTCTAGGAGGATGTTTGCCTTTTGATTGAGTGTAGTATTTAATACAATAAAGCATGAGAGAATTTTTTTATTATATGTAACTAGAAAATAAAAAAAGATCTTTTGTTTCGGAACTTCTATAGAGAGGTGTTACCTTATTTGTGAATATAGGGGCGTGAAATGTGTAGGATTGGAAAACGCTAATATTCTAAGAAAGAGTAATACTTACGACATCTGGCGTGCTGGCTCCATCCGTGTGCGAGGTGGAATCCGCATTGCTTCGTGTGCCTCCGTCGCCATTCGTCGAGCCCGTCAGTTCGGGCGGTTTGCCACTATCCCTCTCGTCTATCACTAAGTCTATGGGCATTTTGCCTTTTAAACAACTAATATACCTGTGACAGAAATTGTCACACAATTCATGAACCTGAAACAAAAAAAAGAAGAATAAGATTTGATATCAAATCAGTGATCAAATTACAACCGTAGATGTTTTCAGAAAATATCTAAAGTTGCAACGCAGTGTTATTAACTGATCTGCTCGAAGAAAAAGCTCCGTATTTTAAAAAGCGAGAAAAAAATATATCAGGTTTTTGCTCATTTTTCCGGGGAAGCGAAGTTTTATTTTTTATTTATTTTATTTTGCGTAAATGGCTGCCAAAAACTGCAGAAACGCCTAAGATTAATGGAGCAGCTTCAAAACTAAGCGTCTCCTTAATAAATACAACGGAAATCCTGATTACTTTATTATTGTATTATATATTACACAGTGTCAATGGTTAAAAATCTTTACAAACATGTCCTTGAGATACATGGGGAAATATTCACCATTTCATTTCATCATTATAAGCTGAATAATCTGTCACGTAATACTTAATAAATATTCGGAAGTATATACGGTGATTCGTTAATACTCGGCCCGAACATCTGTCTCAACTTTTAAACTAACTAATTGAAAATAAAGCGGATACATAAAACTCTTAAACGTGATTTTTAATTGACAAGCAAAATACTCTTTCGAAAACGCACAGTTTCTGGACTCTGATTTTAAAATAACGGATGTTGAGGTTTATTTCGAAAACAGAAAATTTCTGAAGAAAAAAAAACACGAGAGGCATTAAAGTTAATTTTAGGCTTTCGACAACTAAGTCTTTCTACCAAAGAGTTTAGGGTGACTAAATAGTAGAGACCAACAAAAATGTAAATGTAATGTAAATTATTAAAACAGTTGTGCTACTAAAATACAAAAATAAGCAAGTCTTTTTGACACTCTGCAATTAGGAAATTTATATGAACTTTTTTTCTATATATAAAATATTGAAAATTTTCCGGTAGTTTTTGACTGTCACAATAATTTTAGCTGCACGCGCATTATTTGAAAATTATCAATTTTTTGTCGCTCCAAAAACTCAACAATATGACATCGTTGAAGGGCGATAAGACCCGACACAAAAAATTCGTTAAAAGCACTAAGCTTGCCGTAAACTTTTTTCATTTTCAGATAAAAGATCCCGAAAAAAATCTAAAAGGTTATAAATTAGGTACAAGACAACAATTTACCATGCCCTATCAATTCGATCAATAATCCAACGTGTGTGTGAGTTTCGAATGCAAATAATTTTAATTGCGGTTACGGTTACGACATTGTATCCTTCGACGGCAGTGGCGTATCTACATTTAGATTTTTCTTATTAAGTTATTTACGCTCGAGACTCCGTAGCATCTCCCAGATTAGATCACGGTTTCCCAATATGATTTATTCTATTTATTTCGTCTGGTTGTCGTGTAACGGTGTGAAATAGAAATAAAACGAGATACATCTGTCAGTTGATAAATGCAAAATCGATTCCCGCCGGTAGAGTTGAGAACGCCACTGTCTTAGACGGTTCTTTTACCGCTACATATAATCTGAGAACAGGAAATTCTAATTTACGGTCGCATTTTAGCTATTAGGATCGCACAGGTTTTAACTTTTTTTTTTCAAAAATCCCGGGCCTTATCTATAGCGCAGATACAAAGGTAGGTAGACTTTGATGGTCTTGTACCCGACCGATTTAATTAAAATGAGCATTTTGAACATATCTTTCGAAAAAAATAAAATATCAATGCCAAAGCTACGAATTACGTCAGCGCTCACGTCATTGGTTTCTAGTAGACAAATCATTCACAATCTCGTGTCGGAATCACTTTTCAATATGCGGGCTGACTAAATTATGCAAAGATACCAAAAAAAAAACAAAAGGTACATTTACATATTCTCTTATGGGATGATTTTCATTCAACGGGCCACGAAGAAATAATACGAATAATATGCAAATCTTTCCAGCGATTTAAATTATGTTAAAATCTCTCAAACGTCTGAATATAACGTTTGACAACATTTTTCAAAAAAATGGCAACTAACAATCTTCACATATTGCCTATAACAGACGCAACGATTTGCTAAAATAAGACTCCCAAGAAATTTGGATTAGTTACTTTTTTATTTACAATGTTGGCGCGGTTGTAACAGTTAAGATTAGGTAATTATTAAGATCGATCAAGGGTTTCAGAGAGTAAATAGAAATCGCAGTCTGCCTGATCTTGTCCTTGTTTAAAGCTGATCGCCAAATGGCATTTTAAAGACTTGTACAACAAAATTATTGATTTCTTTACAGATTAAATTGTAGGTTATTAATAGTGATTCATCTTTAGAGGGTGTTCTCCCGGTTTTTATATCGCAAATTGTGTTAAAAAAGTACAGGGTGTTAAAGGTGAAAAATCATTTTAATACGCAAACAAGTAAGAAAAAAATTGAAAGATGTGCCCAGGTATTTGCACAAATGTCCTGTTTCTGAAATTTTAAATGCCAGTATGTTTATCTTTATATATATATATATATATATATATATATATATATATATATATATATATATATATATATATATATATATATATATATATATATATATATATATATATATATATATATATATATATATATATATATATATATTTTTTTTTTTTTTTCTTAGAAAAAGGTTCGATTTCTTTGAAAAACTAAAAATTAAATTTATATAATTTTTTTATAGATCGATCTTAAGGTTTCACTTAAAAATACTAAAAATTTCATGGCTGCTACGTCAAACCAATGGCGGACCTACTACTTTCTTTAGAAAAAATGCACAGATTTTCCGGCACCTTAATCTTGAAACAATATTTCCTTTTTAACACCCTGTTACGAACCATGCTAGATAAAGACTTTTTCAGAAATGCTCACTAAAGGTTATGACGTTTTATTTTTGGTCGCAAATGGTCACTGTGGCGCCGACCATGACCCTTATCCCAACCCGCCCAACCTGCATGCCCTTGGTTAGAGGCAAACCCAGAACAATCACTCCGAAATGGGTAAGAAAACATTGTTCTTGTGCATCTCTGATGCTATACTCAAATATGGTAAACTAATATTTGAATAAAATTCTTTCGATCAAAATCTGAATTTACGATAAAGAAAAAGACCCTTCACTTGAAAATTCAATTTTTCGTCCAACGAAGCGCGAGGGTTAATAATTTTTTGCTGTCCTTTGTTAAATTAATAAATTGTATGTATATACCTTTTACTTTATTACTTTTTTTTGTAATTCCTGACCAGCACGATAATTTTTTTTTGTTTGCAGTAGCGCCATCTGTCGAGAGTTGAAAAAAGGCTGTAATAAAAAATTGAAGTTTCCAGTGAGTAGTAATGTTTGAACATTAAACCGTTTTTCCATTCAATTCTTAAAGGCATTTTTTGTTTTTTGTTCAGTTTCGTAATTGTCGTGAAAATACACTGTTTTCACCCACCGGACGGTTTACTTTTATATAGCATATTGTTCAGTGGAGTTAAAAGCTCTGCCTAATCGATTAAGCAAGTTCCAAGTTTCTTAATCCGCCAATTCATCTATTAGAAACATTTTCGTTTGTTATGGCTAAATTTTACGGTAAAAAATAATTTTAAGATGCGTCGCTAAAAACAATGAGTGGCAATTGTAGATCAGACCTTAAGAGCAAGTTGGCAAAGAGGACGCCGAAAGGAGCGATCAAAATGTACGAAATAGGTAGGATTCGGATGCATGATTGTAAGATATGGCCGAAAACGCGAAATGCCGGCCGTATCGATTTTTAGTTTTAATTGGATATTCTTTCTCGGCAAGGAACTTAAATTACGGGGCATTATACGTTAATGGTGTTTCGTTGAAAAACCATTAGTTTTGCTCCCTTCCTCGCCGCTCCCTTTAAGCACCCGAACGGATTCAGGAATGGTAATGTAGCGAATATTCGGCAATAATGGGTTGTAAGGCAGCCTTTCCTAATTAGGTGGGAAGAGAAAGGCTGCTACGAGATCAATAATATAGCGACATCGGCACACACATACACACACACACACAATGGCTCGCTTCGCGTCGGATCGTATCCCGCGGGTTTTCAGTCTTTCAGATTCCTCGTATTAAACGCCGACATGTAAAAATATGGAAATTGCGAGGCGGCCGGAGAGCAGAATGCGGTCCGATCGCGAACCGGATGGCCATCGCATCGTTTTGCATTCGCATCCACATTTAAATTGCTAAAAGGGGACACTATCGAACGGTCCATCTCTCTCGCTGCGTTGCGATATTATAATCTTGTTGCAAGGCAAATGCATATAACCGGTTATCCCAGACACTGCCGTCTTCTTCTTCTTCGATGGTCGACAGCCATCTTGAGGATCGACTTTACTCTTTGGCCTGACTGGCCGATAACTTACCATATACCGCTCGCGGTTATTTCTCAACAATAGGCAAATAAGAGAGTACTCAGGTGAAAAACGTCATACGAAACATGTCGTATATTAAGGCCGGTCCGACGGTACCCGATTGTGACATTTATTTAATACTCATTCGAAATTCAATTTGGTGGCCAAGTGGTTACAATGTTGTACCGGAGGTGTGTGTGTGTGTGTTCCTCCGATGAACTTAGTGATGCTGCTTCGGGTTTCGGTCATCTCGCAACTTTGAAGAAAAACAAAAAATGAACTATTTATTTCCGAACAACAATATGATCTCGATTGGTGCTCAATTTCTAAATCATTTTTCACCGTAACAAACGCTTTATAAATTTTTGCTACAATATCCGATACGAGTATTTAAAGGAACAACATTATTCTTAATCTATAAAGCACAGATTTGCTTTAAAGATACAAACAATTTGAAAATATATATACATATATATATATATATATATATATATATATATATATATATATATATATATATATATATATATATATATATATATATATATATATATATATATATATATATATATATATATATATATATATATATATATATATATATATATATATATAATCAATGTTATAACAGGAAACGCTCCAGTGTTGTCGTATTTTAGTTTTATTATTAATGTGATGCACAGGTCTACAGTGTTTTTATGTTCGAAAGCTGTTTGCTTACTTGTATAGTTTTGAGGGCCTTTTTCCAAAAAACGCCATATTTTTTCTCTATCACGTCATTTTTTGTATACCTTAAAAATGTTATTTTATTTATATACATACCAATGATATGAATATGTTTGTTCCATTTTTAGGCGTGATTTTTAAATGAATTGATTTTTATGGAATTAAATGAGATTTGGCAACACTGGATAATATGCAAAGCAACAGAGTTGACATAGAAGCGTCAATAGAGCGTTGCTGCTGGGCAGTGTGGTTGTATTGTGTTGTGCTACTGGTTTCGCGGCTATTGCCTTCGTTGGTGCGTATTTCTAGTGTTCTAGAACGTATAAATATAGAAAGAAGACTTTGAGATAGACATTGCACTCACATGAATATCCCTCTAGAATAAGCCTTAACCTGGTAGCAAAAATGTATTAAGAGATAGCTTAGTTGACCCCTAAAAAGTTTCTCTGCCTCTCCTTCATATCAGACTTGGCTTGATTAAAGCCCTAGACAAAAAAGGATAGTGTTTCAAATATTTGTGCAACAAATTTTCAGCCATGACAAGATAAAAGAACTATTTTCCTGAATATCTTGGAGCAGTTAGCGAAGAACAGGAAGAGAGGTTTCACCAGGACATTAAGTAAATGGAACGGCGATACCAAGCCAGATCGAGCATAACGATGATGGCGGACTACTGCTGGATATTAAAACGGGAAATGCCCTTAAAAACAAATAGCCGAATGTCGGAACAACGCAGCTTCCTGGCAAAAAGACGAAGATTTCACTCAAAAAGTATGAGTAAAGTTTTTTTATTTATTTTTTAACTAGGGTTTAATTTTTTTACTGAATGAAAAATATTTTTTTTAGAAATATTGCTTGTTTTTTCTTTAATATTTGGAAACAAAACTCACGTGATGCAAATAAATGTATAGAAATCAGTTTTCAAAATAAAAACATCTGTCCAAAAAAGTTTAATTTTGTAGACCCTGTGATATTAGTAGCTTAGCAGCTTACTTAGTAGGATTTCGCAGTCCTTGCAGTATTATGTTCAATTTCAATGTCAATGTGGTAAATTTTATTACAACAAATAAGGGTTATTGCAAATGGGCTAAATAAGTGTTCAAATAGTATCATTAACTAATACATTTTATATTACAATTCTACGGTACAATGAGCTACAAATTGCTAGTGGCGCAATATGCGGAATAATTGGCCACCAAACCTTTATTTGAGGTGGCTGCATTATTTCGATTTTTCTATTCACTTGCTCATAACATTTTTGAAAAACGTTTTTTTACAATCTTTAAAAATTTGGCACTGTGTAATTGCGAGGACGCGCAGTTGTCACAGAATCAAGTTTAGCATTACCATCTTTTCTATGGTGTAACAAGAAAAATGAGACTTTTATGTATGCGGTGTCACGATTGCCTTGTGTTGTAAGAAGGTAAGAATTGATGAATATTTTTTTTATTTACTACACACCGGTATTTTCACTGTTTTTAACGTAACAAAAGTAACAAATATGTTTTCGAGAATACTACTTGTTCGCTCGGACAAATAAATGGTTTTCGCTCTTAAGTCAAAGACCGGCACCATATTTCCGTTCCCAGAATCATTTTATTTTTTAACTGGAATGTGCCCCTTTCAAAATTTATGTTTGCTTGGAATGTAGACACTTCGGTAAATAGATATCGATCTGTTTAACGAAATAGATTAGGTATTTTCCTTGTAATTTGTCTTATCTCTTAGGCGTGTTTATATTTTACCGAAATCAATCGGGAAAACTAATCAATAAATCGACAATATAGACTATTAGACGGTGGCCCTAATTAATTCACGTCAGTATATAAATGCAAATCTAAACCACGCGTGCAGGTAATATCCTTCAATTGCAATGAGCATTCTGCTTTCGAAAAATGAGTTTATAATTCCCCCACTTAGGAGATAAAAAAACTGCCATTTAAAGGAGCGACAACAGGTTATGAAGGCGATAATAACTCAATATTCATTCAACGTCTGACAGATAAAGTATCGGACAAAATAAGAAATAAGACGCCACCCCTGTCGTTTAGATTCAACTCCGAGATTATGAATAAATAGGCATTTGTTGTCGAAGAACACGTCTCATATTTCAGATTCTGAATACTGTTTAGTCATGTCCGGAATGAGAAATAATGCCCCGTCTGACGGTATATATTCGAAAATATCTGGAATATTTCGGCTTCGAATGCATGGAAACCGGTACATTTAAAAAGTTTTAAGTACAAGAAAAAAGTTTAAGATAAATATGTTAATCTCATTTAGTTTTCGGATAAAACCGAGTTCATTATTTAGGTACAAAGCCATTGCTGCAATGTGCATATATGTAAATGATTTATATTTAGATAAGATTTTATTTATGTAACTTAGAAAGAAGACGTTTATAACTTTTTTGAAAATCGGAATACCTGACTTTTCAGATTGAACTTCCAAAATAAGTGTGAGTTTCATGATACCTAAACGTTATGGATTCTTAAGTTCATTCTAATCTAATAAGAACTTTAAGTGATTAATTTAAATCGACCGTCATATAATATATAACATATAATTTTCAATGGAGTGGTATTAGGGCTAGCTGACACTTCGCTGGCGTTTTCCTTAAAATTATGGGTTTTGGTGTTGTCTCACTAACAGATTTATTGCAGCTAGTTGTCTATGATATTTAGAAATCACAACTAATTTATTGAAGCTGTCAAATTAGTCTGGCTTTGCTGGAAAGTCTGTTTATTGATCACATACCATTAAACTTTATATTTTTATACTCTTTGACGTTGGTTCAAATTCAAAAAGAGCTGCAAGTTGTAGCATGTATAAAAATCAAATGGCAGCAACAACTAGGTGATTAAAACAATAACTTAAATAAATAACAATAAAACTGGATAAACTTTTTTCAGATGTTGACAAACTTAAAAAGAGTAATTTATTTTCTTAAATCAACAAAATTATAATAATACGCTTCTCTTTTGGGTAAATTTTCATACATTTCAAATAACGCTGCATGGCGTGAATAACCTTGTAGTATATTATATTTAATAAGAATCAATTCTTGTTAATGCATAAAAATGACACTTGAAATTTGTATCAATAATCACCAAACCTAAAATTCTCAAAGTGGTTTTCATTATATACTTTTCTAAGATTTTTAAAAATCTGACGTTTCAGATTTGTGGGAGGGGTCAGTTGTTTTAACATTTTAAGGGGCATTGTGACCCTGACGTGTGGTTTGAATTGAAATGAATCAACATTTTAAAAAAATGGGAAAAAGCAGACCATTTTTTTGTGAGATAAGGGTAATGCGTTGCGTTAATTAAGCATAAGCACACGACACTAAACATAAATAAAATTGCAAAAGATGACATACTGGAGGCTATTGCTAAGCTAATGCCTAAAAACTCATGTGGACTAGATAATATTCCTCCATATATTTTTAAAGCTTGCAGGGAGCTTCTGGTGAGACCCCTAGAGATCCTTTTTCATTTAATTTTAAAGACTCAAACATATCCGGAAAATTTCCAAATTTCCAGAAGATCAAGTCCTATCATGTGTCAATATAAAATGAAAGAAATTATAATAGGACGAAAAACAGACATGAAGGATCTTGGTGTACTTTTTGATTCCGGAAGAAAATTTAATAAACATATAGACAGTATAACAAAAAAAAAAGGTTACAAAATGTGAGGTCTTGTGTTTCGAAATTCTTCCGGCTTTCAAAATAAGGAAACGTTGAATCTATTGTAAAATGCATATGTTAGGAGTATTCTCGAATATTGTTAGATTATCTGGAGTCCGTACTATTCTGTATATTAAAATGAATTAGAAAAGATTCAGAATAAAATTTTGAGGTACCTTTATTATAAGAAGTATGATATTTATTATTTTGATGTACCCTATGCCGTTTTGACTGAGGAGTTTGGTATTTGCACAATTGAGAAAAGAAGGAAAATTGCTGAAGCAATATTTTTGTATAAACTGGTTTGGGCCAGAATAGATTGTTCTTTTCTAATTAGTGAATTAAGATTTATTGTGCCTACATATTTAACAAGGAATAATATCACTTTTGAACTTCCTAGAGCTTACACTCGTCTAGGACAAAATAATTGTACTAACCAAGTTATCCAAGGCCTACATCCTGTTCCAATTGCGTTTTAAGGCTTGATCATTTCTATTTATCAATTTTCCTATAACGTGAAAAATCTCTGAACATTTGTGAGGTTGCAATTTGAAATAGTAATAATAATAAAAAGTTTATTTACATTTGGGATTTAAGGACTTAAGTTAAGTTTAACAATCTATAAACAAATTATCACAGAAGTGGTGCAATTCTACTTCTTTGTGATACGACTAATTCTGGTCTTGTACCATATTAGAAAATTTATTGTCACAGTCAGGAGTTACACTTTAATACCTAATTTATTCTTATATTTTTAAAGTACTATTTGTAAACATTTAATGTAGGTTGTACCATCCATGTGTTTAATTTATTTTTGAAAGCCTTTTTCCTTAATCATTTTTAATTGTGCAGGGAGGACATTATATATTTGTAGAACTAAAGATATAATGCTGCACAGTCTTATGACTTACAAAAATAAAACAAAAATCAAGCTTCTCACTGTCGAAAAAATTGGTGTGAAATGTTCATTCATAATATAAACGTGGGTCGAGTTAAGCCTTTGTTTATGTTTGCTGCCGCCATTAAGCTATTTTATCAATGACTTGTCTAGTCACCTTCAAATATAATGACCGCGACCTACAGCTACTACTCACCTTTTCTAACTCGAGCAGATGAAACCTAAGTACTTGTATGGCCTGGACCATCTGAAACACAAGAAAAAACAAGAACATTATACCCTTTAATTCGCATCACTTACAGACAATGGAGCGTAATCGTTACTTTAGATAAATCACTGTTTTCCGGAATAAATTAACTTTTGAATGGTATTATTGTCAGTGTGTGTAGGTGTGTTTGTCACAATGACCCTGCCCGACCGTCGAGCAGCGGCGAGGCACACGAAAGAGAAAATTACACGGGAGATAAGAACGAGTGAGTCTGTCTGACTTGGCCGGGTCGCATCGGCCTTCGTGCATGACCAGTACCGATTTTTTTTCTGCCGAGCTACATAGGAAATCGTGCCGGTTTTCAAAGATGTCCGGTTGACACGCGATTTGATGATCGAAGCGGAATCGATGCTTGCGGGTAAAGATTTATCGGATATGGTAATTTTATTAATAAAAGCTCATATTCACCGCGAAACTGATTTCTCAGTGGTCGTTTAAATAATTACAAAGTATGCACTTTGTCCCGGACGCGGTAACAAAGGCAATTAAAGCGTTAAGCATTTTTTAGCTCCCGTACGTACAATGTTGATGGTCGTAAAATTTATTTTCCCATATAGAAGTTTATTGGAAACGGCAAAATAGTAATTAGTGAAGAACATAACATTATTATCTGGTTCTTGAAAAGAGCAGCAGATCTTCGCCTATTGACTGAATTATTTTCTCAGTCCAAGTACTTGAAACGAGTACACTGCGCGGAATTAACCTTGCTTATATAGGAAACAAAAAAAGTAGGATACTGAAGAACTGCTTAATAAGCAAAGCTCAAAATTGCCCAAAACTAACGAAATGGATAAGTACATTGTGTTCATTTGCCGCATATTTTCTTCGAACCATTTCACCATAAGGCAACGAAAAATATATCGTCGAATATATTTAGGCGATACGTTTATATGAACGTTTTCTTTAAACAATGGTTTCCTATAACCTGTAAAGACTTTGTCAAAATAATTCTGATCCACCCTGTGTGGACCGTTTCCTTAGTAATATATAACACTGAATATTCTATTCAGTTCATTTACATTATTGTTCCAAGTTTTATACATCAGGTCAGAGCAACAGGGAGGCCACCTATTTGGACTATATGTACCAAGCCAGTTTTCGCCAAAATTGAGTGTTATTTACTTTACCATTAGTTAGTTAGGCTATAGAATTATTATGTGCTGGAGCGCACTACGTATTCTTGCCAAATTTGTATATAACTTACCGCATACAAATTTAAATAATATCAATATATAATATCGATTCTTGGGTCGATTAGAATTCCTTCCCTAGATATAAGCGCTGCTCTAATCCATATTACATTTTGAAATAAAAAAACATTAATCTATTGCAAATACCAATTACAAAATTGTAAGGATGTAAGTTGTGCACTCTTCTTATTTTACATGGATTATACTTAATATTTTTAGAACTTTAGACTTACTTGTGCCAATTTGTCAATATCCATGCTCACTTAGATTTTGATACATTCTATGAAAATTTTGTTTTTCTGACTGTCGTCGTTCCGGATAACTCCTAAAACTGAAAAATCTGCATCTTGGTTTTTATTACTCTCAAGATAGTGCTCAAACATAACTTGCCATAGTATTGATAATGCCTACCCATGTTAAACTCCATTAAAAAAAAAACATAATCGAAAAGCGACTATGAACACTAGTACTCAATTCAATGACAATTCAATTTTATGCCTTATCCATGACCAACTTAAAACATTCTTTTCCGGTATCTTCTAACCCAATGTGGTTAGCGTAGATCTGATTCTGTCATTAAACAAACACAACACTAAAAAAGAGAGCGGGACATATATGCCAGTTTTTTTTTATATATTTTACCATTTAGCCTACACCCTATATCAGCGAAAAAAAACACTGCATATAACTAGATCATAGAGCAATCATATTTTCAAATTCTGTTCCACTGTGAAGACAGCAAAATACTCTTAGTAAATTCTGCCGTGCAGATAATGGAATAGACTAGCGAGCGGAATGCTTAATATTTAAATTTATGTTAAATAATTCGACAACTAAGAAGAGAGTTATTAAATTATTTACAATTTTATATAAACAATTTAAAAAACTGAACTGAACCACTTTTTTAAGTATTGAAAACGTCCAATTATTTATAATTTAGTACTTATGTTATATTTTGTGCATTTTAACAACGATCTATTAGACCTCGGTCCGAATAACAAAATGTCTAAACAAAAAAAGAATATAATTTTGATATAAATTTGATCACTCTCCCTTGGGTAGACTTCTTGATTATGAACCAATATCGTCGTCAAATGATACTTAATATATTTACAAAAAAAAAGTAATAGGAAAACTGCATGCACGTTTCTCTGTTTAAAAATAAGTGAGATAAATTGTTACAAATCGGATGCCCCGTATATCCAAATTTATGAAATTTGTTGCTTCCGCGAATGAAAATATTTGTGAGACTTTGCTATGTTGGACTTCACCATGCAATAAACCGACGGCTTCTACGACACAGTAATTATAAAATAACAAAAAATGTAAATTTAAATTTAACTATTTATTTAGATATTAATTATCAATGTCATTAACACAGAGCTTTACACAATTTTCTATATCGAGAAATCGGGACCGTCAGGAGATGTTTTTAATTAATAGCGATAAAATAAAACGTTCGCGGTAATTTAGAAACATGGTCAATGGAATGCAATAAAAAGTTTGACCCACGTATCTTCCAACATGTCCTGTGGGTGGTCCGAGTATACCTACAGTCGCTTATGACTGATGACATGTAAAAGAAATCTTGATTGTCAAAAGAACTGAACAATAGTAAGAAAAACGCGCCAAAAAAGACCGCAAAGAAGAAAAACTCGGTGGTCCATTCTATAATTAACGCAAAGCTGATACGTGGGCAACGCAACAAAGTTTTCTTGCCACGACATGCGAAACTTACACTAGATTACGCACCCCCAGACGTCTGTCGCTTCTAATATTATTCGTAACAAAATGTAATTAACGAATTATGTCCCTCACGGACCCATTATTAAAAATAATTCTGGATGTGCGGGTCGGGGCTTGGTGTGCCACCCTCGAGGCAAGGCAAGCGTGAATGACACTCTATTTAGTAATCGATTACGTTGCCACTGTTATGTTTCGTCATTCTTTTATCACCAAATAGCGCTGGTTGTATCGTACTTATCGTAGCTTACAAATGGAATTTCACTGTCTTCCAATTTTTCTTTTCTCTTTCTTACTCCTTCCTTTTTGTATTGTCTCCTTGTAAGTTTTTTCGCCTTCAAAACTAATGAATATATCTAACTAATAATCTAAATTAAAATTTTGAACTAAGTCCTTAACAATATCGCGGCAAGTTGAAGTCTGCAACGATCAAGGCTTTTTGTAGTTCCCTATTAATGTAGTTTATTGTTTTGTTCTTGTAATTTGCCTTTTGTTATTTCTTTCTTGGGCTGTATGTATTAAGTATTATTAAAATCGAATTACAGCGGCATATGGGGATGGAATTTGAATCTGTCTTCTAATTAACTTTTGGAGTGTTTTAGCGTGGCCATTAGCCATCAGGTTTCTCTTATCTATGATGAATCTGCATAAAAAAAAATTAAAAGACCATAATTTTTTAATGAAAATAATTATTTTTGCTTCGCGCTAAAATTTTTAATCAGTATCTAGATTATTTCCAACATAATAAAATAAATGTAGTAAATTTTGTAAGGGGTGTTTTTTTTCGATGTATAGAACTTTAAGTTGCAATAAAACAACGATGGATTATTCGATTGACATGAATTTTGTTTATCCGAAAGATAATCTCGTGGCATTACATTTTAAATATGATTTCTCGCATATGACCGCCACGGCTGGCGCGGATGTAGTCCAATCTGGTCGTCCAGTTTTCGATGACTTTTTCCAACATTTGTGGCCGTATATCGGCAATAACACGGCGAATCTTGTCTTCCAAATGGTCAAGCGTATGTGGTTTATCCGCGTAGACCAATGACTTTACATAGCCCCACAGAAAGTAGTCTAGTGGTTTAAATCACAAGATCTTGGAGGCCAATTCACAGGTCCAAAACTTGAAATTAGGCGGTCACCGAACGTGTCTTTCAATAAATCGATTGTGGCACGAGCTGTGTGACATGTTGCGCCGTCGTGTTGAAACCACATCTCCTGGACATCATGGTTATTCAATTCAGGAATGAAAGAGTTAGTAATCATAGCTCTATACCGATTACCATTGACTGTAACGTTCTGGCCATCATCGTTTTTGAAGAAGTACGGACCTATGATTCCACCAGCCCATAAAGCGCACCAAACAGTCAGTTTTTCTGGATGTAACGGTGTTTCGACATACACTTGAGAATTAGCCATTCAACCAGAAGTGCGCTTCATCGCTAAACAAAATTCGCTTATGAAAATCGGGAACAACGGCAATCTCGTTTTGGGCCCATTTGCAAGCGTTGTTCAGGCGTGAGTTTATTCATGATGAATTGCCAAACCTAACTGAGAATAAATCACTTGACAGATGTTAAATCGATCGCCATCTTAAACTCAAAGTTCTATACATCGAAAAACACACCCTATATATGGCTATAGAGTAAGTTCATTTTACTCTACATACTATGTTGAAACTAACCAAACACTTAAGTAAAAAAAAGACACCACAAGTAGAATTTGAAAAACATTTCACACTTAATAAGAATACCATGAAAATTAATGAAATATCGGTTGAACATTTGAGTTAACTGGGTTCAGTTTAAACAGAGGAACCATGACAAGATATTCCAAATTCCACTAATGCAAAAGATAAAACCATCGTCATAAACGAGAATTAATTTTCAATATAATGTATCACTTTTTTTTTGCCGAATATGTCAAATACCCAAAAATAGTCCAATATTCGTAGTCTCTTACGAAATAGCATTCTGAGAAGAAATGGTGCATTGCTGATAGTAGTCACTGAAGATTCAAACTCTATCTATCTAAATTTCT